CCCCGCCCCGGGCCCACCCACCTGACGGGGGAATGCACCAATGCCGGCCCGGCAGGGGCGGGGCTGGCCGTGACGCGCTGGCACCTGCCTTAAAGGGACAGCGCAACAGGTGGCGGCCGCAGGAGGGACCGGGGCGGGGAGCGGGGGGGCAGCGCGGGGTCCCGCCGCTCCCAGCAGCTTCCAATTTTTATTTTCGTCTTCCTTCTCTCAACCTGCTTAGAAAAAGCGTGAAAGCGGCAGAAGAGAAGGCGTTCAGCACGGCGTGCCCGCTGACGACGACAGGACGAAGAGCAGGTGATGGAAGAACTCCCGCGACAGAGGGAAAATACCGAGGGCTGAAATTTCTCCGGGAGAGCTAGAAACATATGGCAGAAGGCAGTCTGCCAAAGCTCGCGGCATGCAAGGGATTCAGCAAAGAGGGATCGAGCATTTTTTCCTGTTTGGTTAATTAATCTTAAAAATACTCATCCCGAAAGATGGTGACTTGTTTTACACGCCTAAAAAAAAGCATAGCAAGATCCTGCGGCTGTGAAACCACTACCTGTTCTTTTTCTCCACAACACTCTTCACTAATGGTCATTTTTTAAGTTGACATAAAAAACCCAAAACCATGAGTTCGTTAAAGAGGAGCCCAGCTCTCTGCTGGGGGTGTTCCCCCCTCCTCCAAAATCTGCAGATCCGTTCGGATGCAGGGCGGGCAGGAGAGACAGATGGCCAGGTCATGGGAATGAAGAACCCAACCTTTATTCCGTGCAGCTTTTAAGCCAAACAGTAAAGAGTCCGAAGGCGACAGTGACAATCCTGCCCCGCCAAGTCCTCACACGCGCATCTTCCCTTCCGACGTCCTGAAGGGAAAGCTGGCGCGGGTATTAACTCTCTGTCTTGCCGCTCTGTGTCCTGTTCAAGTGGTCAAAGCTTCTTTGGAGCATGGAAAGGGAGATCTTGAGCTGTGAAGATACAACCATCATACCCCCAACCATTTAGTCTCCCGCATGGGTGAGTGATATCAGGAAAATAACGTCTCCCTCCTCTTCTTTTAAAGGTCTCAGGCAATTTCCTCCTCCCTCTTTCTATGAACAGTTGCCTTGCTGTGCTCTCCGAACCGCTATGCTCTGTGCAGTTTGTAATTGCTAAACAGTCCAGTAGGATAAAGCCTTACCACCCCGATAATGCAGAAGATAAGCCACCCCACTCATTTTTAGTCACAGTTAATGTTCACAGCAAATACTCTAAGGAACATGGCAGCAACGCCGGAATTTTCTTTTAATACCTGGCCCTCCGGTGCATTTTGGTGCACAAAACGTGTTTAGATTATTGACAACCCTCAGAAAACACAAGGTAAACACTAAGATGACGTCCCGACAAAAGTGTCATTTGGGATGAAAAAGGTGGTTGAATTCTCACTTTTTTTTTTTTTTTTTTTTAAAAAAATGCTGTTCAAAAGGCAGTTAACACTTCAGAATTAGGAATGTTTTGGGTAGTAAGCAGAGAAACTGAAAAGGGCACGGAAACAAGGAAATTCATTTCGACAGTGAAATTTCCAGCACTCAAAAGCTTTTTCAAGCTGTGATCAAAACGGTTAATAGATTAATAACAATTCTGTGTGCAGAGACACCTCTGAACACGGAGTATCAAAAATGGCTTCTTTTTCTACCCTCCTTTAGTGCGTGGGAGAACACAGAGCAAACTGGTGATGGATAGAGGTACATGTGAACTCCCCCACAGCTTTCCTAATCTAATAATTTCTTCTGTCACATTTTGAGATTTAATAAAAGAACTTAAAAGAATCAGAACATTCATAGGCTATAAGGAAAAAGCAAAGTATGAATTTACTGTCCTTCACTTAGTGAGCTGAAATGTCAGCCTAGGGGTTTACCAGTCCTGGACTGCAGGATCAGAGAGACACAACAGCATTCAACAACCTCATTTTTTATACAGTGTTTGTAGTATCAAAGAGCCTGGAAGTGTAAATTACTGCGAAGAACAAAGATTAACTCCATAGCTATGGAGCCTCTCAAACATATGGTCTGTAGAATTTATTTATTTTTTTCCTGGAGATTAAGCGGCCCACTGATACCAGAGCTAAACGAAGCTCTCACCAGTACCTAGAGCAGCAGTGGGGAGCAAAAGCCAGGATAAACCTGAATGAAGAAACCTCATAATGAGGTGGGCAAATACTTAACGTTATGTTTTGAGTCTTCTTAGAAACAAGTATCTGTTTTGAATTACCCCAGGGTTTGCTTTGTCATGATTCAGAACTGCATCAATGCATCTCATCAATAAAGGCACTTGACAGGTTTAAGAAAATTGATGTGAATATTTAACTTTAGTCCAAAGAAAAAACAAACAAACAAAAACCCAAAACATCAGAAACATGAGCATTGCCTTTGTACCAAATTCAAGCCTAGGCCAAAACAAGTAAAGGAGTCACCAAAAGAAATCAATCAAAAGCTGTGAGGGCAGAAGGGAAAAAACTTGAGTTGAGAAACAGTATCACCAAGACAGACTGGCAGACCTACCTGCTCAAGCATTTCAATTGAGTCTCTTAAAACTCCCTTCACATGTTTCACCTGTTCCTTATCGTATTGAGGGATCTCCTCTTTTGATACCATTTCTGGGGATATGCTGAAAAAGATTGAGATTACATCAGAAACACGAAACACGCACCTCCCTGCTTTTCTAAAAGCTACTGGGCTCTGCCACCATTGCTCTGCCATTATTAAAAGCATCCTTTTCCAAAAGCCACATAAAAAGCTGCCTGCAGCTGAATTTCAGTCCCTGTTGCCTTGAAAATACTGCCTCGGACCTTTGTAGACAACAGCCACCAAGAACAAACATGCTCGCATTATGTCTACAATGTACGTTCTCACACTTCAGAGGGCAAGATATTTCTTATGAAGTTACCCTAATCAGTTCTGCGATGATCGCTATGGGAGGTCACCACACCACCTCCATACTCAGGATCAGGTTATGGTTTTTAACTTGTTTGCTGATACCACCTTCAAGAGAGGAAGCAGTATCCGTGCCTCTTCCAACACAAAAGGCACCTAACATGGAAGTTTGAGGAGGAGAGGGGATTTAGCAGGAGACTTACAGAAAGAGGCTAAGAAGCTACATGAATCTGTAACATTACATTTGAGATCATGCTGGTTCACACAGGATGAAGTGAACACTTCGGTTCTGTGATCAGCAGATCTATGATATTCACAGAAGATGAGTCACAGCAGGGTGATAAATGCAAGTGAAGGTTAACACTCCCCCAAAAGACAGCTTGTCAAAAGGAGAAATTTATTACTGCAAGATGCAGTCAGACATGTCACTGGATATGTGCACACACCACAGAAGAGCAGCAAGCCCTAGCAGCTTTTGAAAACTTACCACCAAGTTTCATTTTTCAAAAACCTATTTCTTTAGATCAGATTCTGACATAAGCTGAGGAAGAAAGAAAGCAAAGGTTGCGAATTCAACTTACTTCAAAGAGCTTTCTTCCTGAAGCTGGACATGATAGAGGGACTGAGCTGCATGCTCGATCTTTGACAGTTTGACAAAGAGTGTTATATTCAGCAAGACCAACAGCACCAAGCTGTAGAGAGAAGAGAACAAAAATCAAGTCCTATAACAATTTTGGCTGCAATGCTACAGAAACAAGATCTGGGCTACAAACAGCTAAGAAAAGAGAATCCTTCTGAGATAAAGAAGGGCGTGGGGCAGCACTACACCGAAAATAAAGATCTATCCAAACAATTCTTAGTGGTTAGCTTTAAGCTGTGTAATAGCAACCTATAGGAATGACAACGCAGTGTCTCCTATTGGAACTTTTTAAACTAGGAATGAGTAAGTTTCAGAATTTTTTTTATAGGATCAGACATATGTGAACTGCAAGGTAGCCTAGTTTGGCAAGTTAGCATTTTCATTCCATGTGTCACTTCCGAAGTCAGTCCATTCCCCTCCTGTACCTGAGTGCTCCTATTCAAATTAGGTTAGGATCTATCACGCTACATGCAATGTTAACGAGCAAGTGAGGTACAGGCAAACACAGATAAAGACCAAGATGAGCTTGAGTGAAGCCACATTTTAATGCAAGTGAGTACTTACAAGAAACTCATTATTGCGATGATGGTGGTGGTCCTACTTACAGCATCTCTTTTCCTTCCTATAGGGCATGGAAGAGAAGGAGGTTAAAAAGTACTGAAGAACATTCCTAAAGGATGCCTGCAGAAACATGTCAGTGCTCAGCATTTCACACAGAATAGCTCAACAGCTTCTGATGGAAAAAAACAACAGATCATGTGGGTGCACAAGATCATCTCCAAGCAAGGCATTTCTGCAGTCATCTCAGACGAGTCAGCTGGACAGTCAGGCTCTTCCATCAGGAGGGAGACTTCCCCCTACCCCAGCATGCTGCAGAGAACACAGCCCTGGGGCATGCTCACGTTAAACCTAGGCAGCCTGAGAAGGCTACAGTCCATCCACTACCAACACTCATTCAGCTCACAGGCTGCTAGTCACACAGGAGTAGAGACAGCCTGCAAAGCGGCTCTCTTCTGCTTGTTCTGCTGGCCACATTAGTCTTTCTGACAACCAGTGGCAAATCAAGTTCTCCTTTAACTTGTCCCATCCTTACCAGCTTGGTTTATATATTGGCCTGATGACAGCCTTTCAGAAAGAGCCTTTGCTAGTCATCAGACAACAGGGATGAGACACTAGTGAGGGAGAGGAAGTGTGCATGTCCTCCTCAAACTGAGTAGCAGTTGCCTACCACTGTGGGCAGGTTGATCTTTTAAATGTAGTTGCCCTGATCTCCTAAAACAGTTTTACATTCGTATTTCCTGCCCTGGACAAGGAGCATACGGGAAAGCTGTAACGTA